TGAGGGGTCAGAAATGCCTCTTTTCTTACATGGAAGAAAGAACACAGAGGAATGGTCTCTAACCGAAGTACTTGAAGCCTAGTCAAGGATCTAAAGGATTAACAACTCAGTACTCCATCTTCAATGGAAAGCAATTTAAAATGCACCTTACAGATGTTTGATTAGAGACTCAAAAGAATACATTTTCGTGATGCATTACCTTACAACAGTCCTATGGCAATTTGCATACAGAAAACAGGTTGAGATTGCTAGTGCTGAATTTCAGAAAATGTCTAGACAAGTCCAGCCTCCTCACTACAATCACCAGACGCTGTAAGGTAAAGAGATTATAGTAGGGTCACACTTCCTTAATTACCCCTTGGAAAAGCCCCCCAGTTTGGGCATTCCTCCAGTAGATAATTCCCCACTGTAGTGCAGAATCTCTTACAACAATGAAGAAGGAGCCCTGTCCGTGGTGCTCAGCTACAACACTGGGCCACCAGGGAGGCTGCTGGGGCTGCACCTGGTCACAGAACACCAAGCAAGACCAAAAGGATAGAAAACAAACTGAAAACAAACCAGACAGTAATCCAACAAAAAAAATCCCAACAAACCAAAAAAACCCAAAACAAATCAAACCAGGAAAAAAAACCAAAGAAAAAACCAACCAAAAAAAAGTTGAAACAAAGGCCTTGCACCGTTGCCAGCAGAAGTGTACTATGATAACAGGGCTTTCACCTGAGTCTTCAAAGCCATCTTCAGAACAGACTCTTGTTGAAAAGGTTAAGTAGGCTTTTGTTCCAGGAGGAAAGCATACAGGGACTGAATTCAAGCAGGCCTCTTGCAAAGCAATGTTTAATACTTGGCATCGTTCTTCGATGCAGAGTCTGCTCCATGGGATCTCAAGTGATAATGTGTCTTTTCCCTGCATAAGGGCTGTCCATCCCTGCCTGGTGATGGAGCACTGCACACCTATAAAGGTTGTCAGCCAGGGGAGTTACCCTGTTCAAGTAGCTTTGTTTCAGACTGAATGGCTTCTGAAAAACGAAAGAGCAGAGACCTTGCTTACCTTGGTAACACAAAGCCACATTATCTGCTTGCAAATTTGCCCTACTGCATAAACACAGCAGATCCATGGTCAGATGCTTCCTGGCTCCCTCCTCTTCAGTGGGGTATTTCTGATCATTTCCCACTAGGCCTGAGCACTAATACAGCTCATCTACAAGTGGATGATTACTACCTTGAAACAGTTTGAAAAGCAAAGTAAGCACAGCAATGTCAGGCACCAGCAACGTTTTGTTCCTATCACAAAGCTTGCCAGTTTCTCTCAACTACGAGCAGCCAAACAAAAAACACGTCCCATTTCAAAATCAAAAACCAGGTGAAAGCCCAGAAAGCTGCAAGAACTAACTCCCCCTGGAATGGGAAAGAAATTATCCCTGTCTAGCTGCACCTTACCTAGTTACTATGGCATATTCTGCTGCTGAGTCCTCTACAGGGCACAGCAGAATAGAAGACTGGCTCTTTCAGGAGGGGTCCTGCCTCTTGAGGCAACTTTAATTTTGGGATTAAACCCCAGTGCTTCTCAGATGTGAACCGATATGAGAAGAAGCTAATTTCAGAAAGTCTGATCCACACCTTCCCAGAGTGTATTTTTTATCCAAAGCTGTAGAAGTGACCAATGCAAGAGTTTACAGGTGTCTTGCTTTGCAGTGTAAAGACCCTCCATTATAGGATGACAGCAGAAGCCACTGAAACTACAAGGTGAATGTATATATGAATACAGACTACAACCTGAAACCCTACCTGCAACACTAAGCATCACAACACTTAATCTTTTCATGGTAAAGTGAACTGCTGAAGACCTAAATGTCTTGGAGAGGGTCCAAAAGCAACAGGCAGGTGAGCATCACTTGAGGAGACCAGAGATCTCTTGCAGCCAGTATTTCACTCACATCCTTTGCAGGGTTACTTTCATACCATGAGAAAGTGTAATAACTTAAATTGCATAGTGAAGAGTCTGGATTCTGTTCTGGAATCTGTTATAGACTGTCTTGTCCATCCAGACTTGTTTGAACCATTATGTGGGAAAACTCCACGACTGGAAATAAGAAAATCCTTGCTCTCCAAGCTTGACAGCTGTGATAAAAAGGTACTTAAGTTAGAGGAGAAGGCTGACTGCACACAACTTCAGTTCCAGCTGAGTAAGGGAATAACACTGCCAGATTATGATGGCTGTTCTCATCCATACAATGGGATACAAACAACTTGTATCTCAGAGGGGAAAAAAACATTTTATTCAGAAAATAATTTCATTTTAGGTTCCAAAAAAAGGCATGTCTACACACCAGAACACAAACTAAAGCTAATCTTACATTCATGACACAATTTAGCCTAACAGCATATTGCACTGTGTTGAAAATCAGACCATTAGGAAAGAAAACACATTCATTAGACACTATGAGCTGGGCAAACATCCACAGAAAAATAGAAAATAATTTAGCCTGATTTTCCATCCAGTTAATCAGTCCTGAAGCCAATGGAATCACTGTATAATTAAGCAGATTCCTCTAAAGAGCTCATAATAGTTCACACTGCTTTAATAACCTGCCTACGTGTCAGAGAAGCTGAAGAAAAGAGAAATTTTCAGGACTAAAGGAAAATTTAAAAAACACATTCTGAATATCAAGCAGTTTAGGAAATATGAAAATTCATAGGAACAGGTAACACCAGGGTGGTCACAAAGAAGCATGACCATATTTTCTTCTCAGTTTTGAAGTAAAAAAAAGTACCTGAGGATGTGGTACACATAAGAATTACTCTCTTGTGCAACATATTGTGGTCACATTCGTATACTATAAAAAATCCTAGTAATTTGTTTCATTTAGAAGTGCCATTTTTAACTAAATACATTATATGCAGAATCCCATTCTTAGCAAGAAAAAAGAAATATTTCCTGTGAAACTGCAGAAGACTAATACACCTGTTATGCATTTTATTGTTTCTGTAGATATTTAATATGTTAATAACAGATATACCCTCACGAGTGGAAGTTTACCACTGTATAAGAAACTTAAGCTAGGGAGTTATATGCATAATACTGTACAAGCATTATTACAAAAAGGATAATCATTTAGTTATTGAAAGAGTAGATAAAAGTGCAGAACCAAACTGATAATTAAGGACAACAATGACATCTAGTGGACACTCGGAAAACTGACCCGCAGTTAACAGGGAAAAGATCCAACTGCTGTTACTGTTCTACACACAGTGATCAGCTCCCAGATTGCTACAGTACAATTAGGAAGATTAAAAGATAGAATTTGCTGCTGCTGAAAGTCAAAGTAATGTGATGATTCATTTCTTTTGAAAGAATATTTAATTAAATACTTTTTAAAAAAAATAAAACACATCAAGACCTCTCCATTTAAGATTTAGGATAAAAGTAAAGGTCAAAGCTTGAGAGAACATCACAAATCATTGAAAGGACAGAGTGCTAACATAAGAGGCATACATATTTGCTACCCCATTTTTACTCCCACTGCATCTACAGCCTTCTACTTATGCATCACTCTTGGGACTTCAAACTGTTGGGATTGAAAAGCAAAATGAAAATAATAAAAAACCCAGAAATAAAAATTCAAACCACTATTTAGCATCTCCCTTTTCTTGTCATTCCAATCCTTCTGTTATTGTAAAACCTGCCATATAAAGCTGGTAAGTTAGACCTTCCCAAAGTATCTGCCAGTAGCTACTGAGCTCTAGAGAAGAAGATTTTGAAACATGAGGCCCTGCTTATACCTGTAAACCTGATTAGTTTAGAAGGTGGACATCTAATAAGATCATAGACTAATTTAAATCTGCTTTTACTATTTATCAGAAGGTAAGCAAAACTAAGCAGTTAAAGCAACTCAAATCTGGTCTCATTTGTTCTGGCTAGAAACATCACTATGAAAAAATACTGGGTTTGACTATTACACTTTTGTAAATAAAACATTAATAAAACAGTACAACTCTATGTGTCATTCAAAGTCTTAAGCATATCTTCAGAACTGGAAATTGGAGTTTGCATCATATTGTTAAAAAACTGCATCCCTTTCACAAATTTTCACAATTCATCTCAGAGACTGTCCAATATATAAAAAAAAAGCTTTACAAAAAATTAGAAACTGTACTCAAAAGTTAAATATCATTAATGAACATATTTACATTACTTTCAATTTAAGTTGGTATCTTGTTTGCTCTGTGTATGATTACAGAAAAGTTAGCTGCAATTCCACTAGCTCTTACCACCAGCAGCTGCTGGAGTCAGCTATTAGAAGATATGGAGCAGATTCTCCCTTACATAAAGATTCTCTAACCAGCAGAATACAAAGAAACCTTTCTAGAACTGCTTATCTGCCTTTGTGTCCTAATTTCTCTTTCCAGAGTCTCAAAGTTAGCTTTGAATCAGATGCTGCCAGTTGGTAAGAGAATATGCAGCCTCCCAACAATGAAATCCAGACTCTAAAATATTTATGCACCATACATGCCTATAATTAAAATCTGTAGTTTTAAATTCCAAGTCCTAGTAATGAGACTCAACAGCTAAGCAAGTCATTAATGAAAAAATTACTCAAATTCATGCTTTAAAAAAAAAAAAAAATATGCAAGCATTTAAAAGCTAAGTTTCCCTTTTGATGCATGCAATGCATACATCTGCAGGTATTTTACATGAGTAAAATCAAAGTTTAACCAACTCTAAACAGCCTAGTTCTGGAAACCCCTGCTCTCTATCCCATTATAGGCTCCATATATCAAGTCCATGATAACGATGTTGGCAATGGAGCCTAATAAAAAACCAGAAACCAGACGAGTAAATTTACATGGCAAAAACTAAAAGCAAATATCAAAATAAACCCAGCCATTTTCCCACTTCAGGCACAATGCCATATTTTACCTCCCAAACTGATTTTTCTACATCAGATGTCCTAATGAGAGAGAACAATCTTAAGACACAAAGCAAAGCATCAGAGACCTACCCGGATTTCCTGGAGATTATGAAAATTATTTCCTACTCTGACAGAGATTTTGCTTGGAGTGTAACTTTCATCAGATTTGTAGTCTGCATAAATGCATAATGTCTTCACTGTTGTTTTTCTTCTGCAAGAAGCAACACAAGCTATGTAAGCACCATAAAGAAAAATATTCAGGATCAGGTTATTGCTAGCTTGCAACGACTAAGGATTTAAATGTTCTAAAAATGAATATGTGTGTCTACTGATTTATAAGAAACTTGCTGTTAAAGAACAAGGTGGTTTTTTCACCTTAGGTTATGTACACACAGTTGATTTTCAGTGTTCTCCTTTGTCTGCCTTCAGAAATGTCAGAATACCAAGAAATGGGCCAAGATGCCAAATAAGCACTTGTATGTAATGAAGCTTATGTTTAGCTTATCAAATATCAGCTCTCTTGTTATACCAAGGGGTTCTCAAAAAAGCAAATAAAAAAAAGTGACAAACATCCAACATCATCTTAAGTTTGGTTAAAGAAAAAGTACTGAAAGCATCCTACACAGAATAGAATAAAAAAGGTTTCTCAAACTCGGCTGTCAGGTTACACAGGACTACTTTAACAACAACCATCTATCCTTCAAATTACTCTCAAAGACAGAAAGTCTGGATAAAAGTCACCTTAGGTAGGTAAATGTGACGCTGTCACAAATGACATACTATTAAACCTTTCTTTTGCTTGCTTATTTAGGCATTTAGTAAATCATTACATTTGAAAATCTCACTTTTATAAATGCCATCTAACTGGTTTCTTACCAGCTGGGTAACAGGATTAATGCAGGAGTCCTTTCACTTCCAAAATTCCTATCTTGGTGAACAGTTATCAACACAAAGTTATATAAAACACCCTAACTCATAGGGAGTATTTTTTAATACCTAAATTGGATGTTCACCAAATGAGGCTGTGATCCATCTGACTGCCAGTAAGTTTCTAGATTATCATCTCGTAACTGATCCACTCCAAACCCTAAGAAAAAGAAAATGTTATAGTCTTGAATTTCCCATTTCTGTGATGCAAATGTAGCTTCTCTTCAGCTGTTACAAACTAATGTAGCCCAAGGTATAACATATAAGGAAATATTCCTAGATACCCAAGTTGTGCCTATGCTTTTCTGACACAAAACTAAACCAGAGGAATTTGTGAAAACTCAATGCTGTTGAAGTCTGTGGGGTGTGAAACCATGTCAACGTGTCCTGGAATTTCAAATGGTTAAGTAGTAACTCATATTGATTGTCAGAACACCAATTAACAGTTAGATTTTCCCACTTATTCTGTAATTTAACTTGCTGAACTAAGGGAAAATCGTTAGCAGAGACCATTCATTTATTATAAAATTTTAGCCAAATGTAACATTTTCAAGTAGTCTTCTGAAATATTTTTGCTTTTTCAAGTTACTAGCTAGAAAAAGCAACAGATGGCAAAACCAGTATTCCTGAAAGTTAATGCCATCACATTTAAAGAAGCAATTCCAAATCTATATTTTTCTATCCCTTCATTATCTCTCCTTTTACTAATCACATCCTTTTATTGATTGCCCACACTAATTGCAGTTCTAATGTCGCAGTTGAAGATTAATCTGCAATAAAAAATTACTTTCCCCCTGTTTAAGCAACAAAACCATATGACATTTTTCTTCAAGTAAGCTTCCAGGATATCAGACCAAGCACATTCAGCCTGAGCACAATATTGTGACATAAACAGATCATTCCCTTTAGGCTGCAGCAAGATACAAGATAAATTCCCAATAGCTATCTCTGAAATAGCAAATCAAACACCCCAGAGGAAAAGAACACAGATCTTAAGATATTTTGAGCAGGTATCATTAACTGCACTTCAGGACCATTTACAATAGTTTTGTTTTATTTTATTTGCAGGGTTTTAGGGAGCTACACTATAATGGCCAAGTCCACACAAAGTTTAGACAGAACATTTAGGTCACACAACTGCATGGCTGCTCTTTGGCAAAAATCAAAGACACCCAGGCAAGATGCCAAAGCACAGAAGCAACTACACAGTTCTGGGTGGGTTCTTGCTCACATGGTTTAGTTTGTTCACCGTGCAAGTAAAACAAAAAACTCAATTTAGTATAAAATAGGTAAAACTTCTGTCAACATGAGATAGTAGGATTTTACCTGGCTTACAGGATGAAAGGGACCACACTGCTTGTGAGCCTATTTCTCTAACAGTACCAGTCCTCTCTAACTGCTTTGGATCAGCACCAGGTGGGGTCTTGTTTGGGGTAGTCATTTCTAGTAAGAGAAAACAAGTGAGTTAGTTGACACATTTTTGGCTTAATGGGAAAATTAAAGGTTTGTGTTTGTTCACAGACACTTTAATTCTTTGGCCTCACACTTAGGTAATAGCCTACAGAAGATGTGGTTTATACATATACACATATACGCATACATTTTTGCACATCTGTAGAACCTTTTATTTATACATATATAAGGTAACATGTATAACATATATAATACACTAAGTAGTCTAAGAGGTTCCACATATACATAAGTTTTGTGTCCTTAAAATTTCAACACATATTTGGAACATTCATAAGACCTACTTTATTTGTATCATTCTAACTTACACATACAGAGTTAGTCAGGGGTTCAGGATTTGGTTTTTATGGTTGTGTTTGTTTTTAAGACATTAAAACAGACCTTGTTGATTTAAAGTCTAGCAGTACAACTTCACCCCACACTCCTCCCATATACACTTAAAAGTTTTACTTAATCTGCAAGTTCAGAAACCTATTCAGAAACTACAGCAAGCCTGTCCTGGAGATACTGCTCCTTAAAAATAGAAAATGAGAGTTTAAACAAATTGTGTAGTCTCTAATTTGTAACAACTTGTTACAGCCACATTTATCCATGGTTCATTTCCTTAACTTCCCAACTTCATCTGGAATCATCACCTGTGACTTGCACTGCTCAAGTAACCACGTACATCTCAATACCCAGACCACCACCACATACACTACAACATCATCATGCTGGGTTCCACCTTATTACTGCCTAGAAAGTAGCTTAAAAAAAAATTGGAAAAAAAATAAAACAAAAGCATTCCAGAGAAGCATAAGTTCCATGAAAGGAACTACATTAAAGCTTAAAATTAGACATACAGTGCTCAAGAGTCAGGGAATTAAAGGTGACTTCTCATCCTTTGCTCACATGCATCACATCATGTTGTGCTCTGCTATTCTCAGAAAAAGTCTTCCAGTACCTCACCCAGAGAGCAAATAAGGTACAGAACCAGGCTGGTATCCACAGGATCCAGACCTTACCCACTACAGAAGGGATTTTCTATGTACTAATAACTCTGCAGCTAAAAACTCTTTGTGGGACACAGGAAATCTGAATTCTGTAGTGCACATCACTCTCTGCACCAAACACTTTCTACTGGCCCTTGGCTATTTTATTTTTTTTTAAATTTTCATACATGTGACTCAAGATGGTATTCCAGGGTTTTATGCTACTTTCTCATATACAAAACTGCAGCCCTAACTACCATAAAAACATCTGAATAAACAACTGCACGTGTTGTAAAATCTAAATAGTGACAACAGCAAGTGTCCCAAAAGGCTGCAAACAAAAACCTTATTCAAACACCATTCTCTCAGAAAAGAAGTTGAACACTACACAGCTAATCCTACAGATATCACACATATATTCACAGATATAATAATCCTAATGCCATCCAAATAAAAAAAGGCAAACTCGTGCAATAAGATGTTTTAAAGTCCTTGCCAATGCAGAAAAATTTTGTTCAAAAAAAAACCAAACAAAACTATTAAAAAACTAAGTTGACAATCCATTTAGCCATTTCTCTAAGAATACACTAGCACATACATTTTCCGTAGTCACTGTATTTAAATTGTGCATTATCTGATTTAAAGCTTCTATCAGGTATTAACAATAGGCTCCTTAAGACACAGCTTTAATAATAATTCTTTACTGAATCAGCTACATTATAAACCTGTATATATCAAGAATAGAGTAGAATAGAAAATAAATAACTTCCTCTGGATGCTACTTAATACAACTTTAAATTTATTAATGGCAATTTCAATAGACCAACATGTCACAAGTGGTCTAATTTTCTAAGAATTCAAAACAGTCTTGGAAAAGAATTACAAAACACATAGTTCACAGCTACTTCAAGACCAAATATTTTTCACAGAATCACAGGATGGTTTAGATTGGTGGAAGGGACCTTCAAAAATCATCTAGTTCAACCCTCATCCTACACCAAAATTCAAATTATGTTTATTAACCATTGGGGAGAGTATTTTTCTGGACTTATGAATTTTAAAGCTCAAATGACCTACTAGTCCAAACTCTGCTATTTTTCACTTTTGTGACAATAAACTAAGAGAGCTGGAGTTGCATTCATTTTAATTCTCAGATTTATATAGAAACCAATAATGCTGTTCTTCCCACCTTTGAAAACAGAGAAGTGAAGAGAATTCAACCTCACAAAGTAAAGTTGTTATTCACTTTAGTTCAAGTGATCACATCTCAAAAACATCATACAAAACATCTTTTGAAAATCATCACCAGCAAGCCTTCAATCTCTTTTGACTTCAAGAGAAAATTAATGAAAAACTCCAAATCTGATACTCACAGGTTCATTCCTAGACATAGCTATTGTTAGATACCCACCCTCGAGACAAAAGAAGCATGCAAACATTCTATCAAAACTCACCAAAATAAGGTAAGTCACAGAAATCACACTGTGATTTCTGATTATATCAGAAAGTTGATTACACTTGCTTTCAGAAAAAACTTACTAGAACTTTTAAGTCTGCAGAATCCCCTAAGACGACGACGTTGAGATTTCTTATAAGCTTCAGCGCACAGAGAAAAGTTCTAAATAATTTAACACTGCCAAAATTTGTATTGTAATGTACTCAAAAGTTCGAGCCAATCGTTCTGGGGGTCTGAACCATAAAACAAGAAACACCATCCAAGTTTCCCAATGTTTTAAACTGAGTTTGTTTCCTTCTATCGAACAGGCAAAGCTACTCAAAATCCAAATCCCAACTCCAAACCACTGCTGGCAAATAAATCAACCACATACTGTGTACTGGTGATGCAAAAGACTGAAAATCTTTAATGGTTGAACTAACTGAGTCAGATTTTCATGACAGAACTCCTGTTTAACTAGCTCAGGAACAAGACATTCTGGATAGCTAAGGAAAAATAATGCAGCAGCAGCTCATTCAAGCAACACTTCTGGGCGTTTTCCTAGCAGAAGTAAAAGTACCTCATATTGAGCAAGACACAAATACTTAGCTTTAAAAGTAATTTAAGTCACCTAATAAAACTTTTCTTGGCTTTTTCAGGCTGTGTAAAAACAACTAATCTTTCTAGAGGCCCTTCTCCTTGACACGTGCTGAAAAATGGAAAGACACACCACATCTATAGAAGCACTGGCTGGAAACATCTCCAATTTTCCAATTCAGTAATTCCAAAAGATCATTAATAGGCCGCTGTTTCCTTATTAGCAACATTAATATATGAATGTTTTAATGACATGATCAAGGCCATGCTTCCATTTTGTCCCTTTCCACCATAGGGTATGCACATCCTTTGATCAAGACAAAGCAGTGGATCAGCTTTTTTTCCCCCCCTCCTTTAACATTTTATCCCTCACCATCTTCCTCAGAGAAGTTCACTCTTTTCCAGAGAACATCCCATCCCTGTGGAGTAACAGCCACTACAGACGTTTTAGCAGGCACACAGTTTATAAACAGAGTGAAACGGATTTAAATGGTTGGACAGTCTGCCTTTCACAGCCAAACCAAATGGGGCACCCTCAGTGTACCAGCACAAGACACCTTTCAAAGGTGCTTATCAGAAAGCAAAGGACACACATACTCTTCCACAACACACCAAACAGGAGACACAGAAGGATACACCATGGGCCTTTCCTACTAAAGCTCCAGAAAGACCAAGGCTCGAGGGAACTTGCAGATTGCAAAGCAGTTTTCCCCAGTTAAAGTTTCTAATTCCACCAGGTTATTACAAACAGAACTGTTTAAACTCACACCTGTAAGGGCCCTTGAGAGACCAGACTGCCCTTAACAGTATCACTTTCTAGGAAAAAAGCAGGATTTCTGCTCCTGCTCTCCAGAGAACTCCAAGACTAGGTAATCACTGGCCTTTACGTTCCAACCCTTTACAGATGTGAGGGCCCTCATCAAATCTGCTCTTAGTTTCTTCTTTTCTGGTGTGCCTAAGTCTCTCAAGCTTCCCTACAAATCAAGTTTTATAAACCTAACACTCTAGCAGAGTCTAGGTATCTACATACTATTGTTCAAGAAAACAACCATACCATTTTAGCTAAGGCCCTTATTCAACAGAGCAATCACTTTCCTTGTCTTTAATCACATTTATTAACTTGTCTAATTGAAAGAACATATTATCAAACTTATATTTAATTTACTATGCACTACAGTGCTCAAATGTTTTTTTGGGATACTGTTTACTGTTCACTTTAGCCTTTCCACTAATCAGGCCTTTGATTTTTTCTTCCTGCATTCTCTTCCTCCCTCAGCTCTTGTTAACTGAGCTTAGTGACACTGGTTTCCAATCTGCTACCAATCTTCTAAAGATCATTTTGAATTCTGACCCAGAGCTGTACAGTGCTTCCAAGTTGGCAACATATTTATTTTGTGTTCATCACTACAGAATATAACGAAAATACATTCAAAGCTGAACTCACCAGGAGCACACTTTGTGACACCCTTGTTTAAAAGTGAGATTTTACATGTCAGCTTCAAACGCAATTTTTCAACCAGCTGTACAAGATCTTTAAAAAAAATTACTTTTAGACCACGTTGCAGTAGCTTGAACAACGGCAGAAAACGTATAAAACTCAAGACAAACTCCTTATATGCCTGTCTCATTAAATGCACTGGCTACTGTAAAAAAGGTTTGATCCAGACTGCTCTTAAACCTCAGAATCTTTCAGGGAACCAAAGTTCAGCCTTTCTATTTCAAAAAAAATTACTCTGATTGCACTCCCATTGTACAATTTTATTCAGTTTTAGCAAATATCTGACTACAGGTTTTCCAACAGAATTGAACAAAGGCTGCACTGACTACACCAGCACTTTCCCAACATCCATAAGACTGTTCTTCCTGTTCTTCTTATCAGAAGGAAATTTCATACCTTAGATTCCCTAGTTTTCTTAATGGCACTACTCACTTTACCTCATAAGCTCTTTTCCCTGCTCTCCTTTTCTTTGGCTAGACCCTTGATGGTTTAAGGCCTTCAAAGGTCTCCAGATATATCCAAAAACCAGACTCTCACTATGCTTACTATTTGTTATTCAGATGGAGGATTAAGCGACAACATTAGACATTCAAATTACTAACGTTTACTTAATATTTAACAATGATAGTAAGCGTTCAGTAGCACCCTATTGCAACAGCCGCTTATCTGAATGTTCAACCTCTCAGATGATTCTCTCGATACAATTCTAAACACTTATTATCTTTACTCTGCCTTCAGAGCATCACTTTAAGCCTACTAGTGAAAATTACTACAGTCCTCCATTGTCACAAATATATTTTACTAAAAATAAGGGTACTTAGAGCAACTGCACAATTGAGTTACATTAGCGATTTTATACGTGTATCCCTAATCAATTTAAATAAATGTTGCGGGGTTTTTAATATATTTTTGTGAAAGCCAAGACTTCCAAACTTACCTGGTAAAGATGTAAACTGTTCATTAAGGGATTCGAGCACCTCTTTACAAGTCGTGTGAAGTGCAAACATTAGGTGGAAGCCGCCTCTAAAAACCACAGCACCCAGGGGATGAAGTGGCTTTGACAAACGAAGAGCTGCTTTCGCTCAGGTTCCTTGGTAGCCCTCCCCCCCACACACTTCCTGATTAATTAACCAATTTTACAACACCGTAGCCCGCAGGCCTACAAAACGCTTAAATATCGATAATAAAGCAGCAACACCTACTCGCGGAACACCCCGGCCGCGCTGGAATCCCAGCCCCGGGCTCCGCTCTCCCGCTCCCGAGACACCCGCACGC